ATCATTCAAAAAGTTCTTGGTTTGGTTTTCATTTATAAAATAGCAAGAATTGTGTGTTGCATTAGTATGATTGTCAGTACATAATTCATACAGTTAAGTATCAATAGAGAATATAAGATCTGCTAAATTACATATTAAGAATAGACCCTAAATAACTAGACAATAATGAAGAAATTCAGAAACTGTCAAATAGATATTACATAGAACAAGCACTATTGACTAAAACTATCTCATGCTGCAATCTCAACCATTTTTAAGACTAAACCTGTAAAATTTTCACCATATGTATTACCTTAGAAATGTAGATTAATCGGGCGTCGATCGCTTGAGTTGTAGAAGAGTTGCGATCTATGACAATCCTTCTCACTATGAGTCATAGAACTCAATAAGAGAAGAAAGTTATGATTCAGCGAATCTATCATTATATAGACCTCGCCAAGCTGTGGATATTTTACATAATTATAGGTTTCTCAGATCGTAAGCTCCTTCCCGTTCTTGAGCTATAAAACTCATAGTGAAAACAGTTGTCATACATTATAACTTTTCTTAAAGTTAAATGATCAAGAATGGGCTGATCTCGTTGAGTTACACTGCTAAGATAGTACATATACCAAGAGTTTCAAATATGTAGGCTTAAGAACAGTTGAGATTACAAGAAGATACTATCGGTCAATAATATATTTCTTTATTGAGCTCAATAATGCCTGTTCAAAACAGTATCTATTGACAATTTCATTGTAAATAAAAACTTTGAAGAATCTTTTATCATCGAGAAAAAAATCAGCTCGATTTATTGATCACTATGTTCATACGAAAGTATAGGAATCCATTTTAAATGATCCTAAATACACGGATAGACAATGAAAAACTTAAGCAAAGTTTTCAGCTTTGAAAATTGACTTGCCATCAAATATTTACAAACCTATGACGACAGTTTACAATAATAATGTTCTATTACATACAATGATATTTGAATAGACTCGTCGATATCATATTAGAAAGTGTAGTATTTTCGTTGTTTGATTTTAGTTAAAAGTAATTGATCATTTCAAATGAAAACAACATTTGGACTTTATCTATTTGCAATTTAACACTATCTTCGATTATTAAACTTTCGAAAGCTGTCATAATTATATGATTCACATATAAGTTATTATTAATGTATAATAATTCATCTTTAAAGCGAAAATTTCATTTCGAAGTTATAATAAGCAATGGAAAATCAGCTATCACAAGTTATCACCATATGCTCATAAAAATTACATAATGCATGATTTTTCATCACAAGCAATTTTACTATTAAGCATTTTTCATGTTTTTTTTGATTTTCTGTTCTACAATCTATTTCTATATTTTCATATGTTAAATTCAACAAATCTTACTATGTTGATAGATAAAAGATTGTATGAATTACAAATACAGTCAACAATACTAACATAGCAGTATTTGTTGTTGTTTTTAAAATCAATCAGGGAAATTTTTGAACTCTCCGTCTATATCACAATAACAACACAGTATAGTCTTCACAGATATTTGATAATTATTTTAAAATCTGCGATATATTATCTTTCATTTGATGCTATGAAACAAGAAAATTTTTCTTTTTAGAATTATCCTTTAACTGAATGTCTTTCTGGTGATTATGAAATGCGTGAATTGTGTCCAGATTTAATAAATGACGTACTTAATGAATATGTAATACCAAGTAAAATGAGGTAGAAAAACAAGAACGAAATATTTGAATATAAAAAAAAACAATATACAAGGTGTCCCATAAGTAACAAGACAAGGAAAAAAAGTTTGAATATCTCCATTAGGGCTCGACCAAATGGGCTCAATTTTTTATCAAGGATAGAGGCATCTGCACACTCCAAATCCATACGAACAAGGTGAATGAGAACCTTTGTTAAGTATCACTATTGACCTCAACAATAAAATTTTTACTTTTTCACAGACAGGAAAATAAAAAAATATACTTAACAAATGTCCTCACTAAGCTTGTCTGTATGGATTTGAAGTATAAGCATGCCTCTATTTTTGGTAAAAAAATCAGCTCGGTTGCTCGAGCCGTAATGGAAACATTTAATTTTCTTTTCGATAAAGTGACTTTTGCACTATCCTGTATATTGGTTTTTTCTTACCAGTGACAAAGCAAAAATTTTATTGTTGAGGTCACTAGCGATACTTAACAAAGGTTCTCATTCACCTTGTTCGTATGGATTTGGAGTGTGCAGATGCCTCTATCCTTGATAAAAAATTGAGCCCATTTGGTCGAGCCCTAATGGAGATATTCAAACTTTTTTTCCTTGTATTGTTACTTATGGGACACCCTGTATTAAATTTTTCTTTTTGTTAGAGTATTTCTTATAAGTAAAGAATTTGTATCAATAGCAATAGAAAAAGAAAAATGGTTTGGTACACAATATAAAAAAGAATATTTACCAGATGAATTTATTAAAAAATGTGAAACATGTGATATTATTCCTGAACTTCATTTACCAAAACCAAATGAATTTATTCTAACAGATTTTCATTTACCAAAACCAAATGAATTTATTCCAACAGATTTTCATTTATTTTCAAAAGAAAAAAATTCCATACGACCACAATTACCAATAAAAATTAAAGTCAAAAAAAGAATTAATTTATTTTGTTCAAATTTTTTAAATTTCAAATTCTTTGTTTTTTTTTTAAGGAAAATGAATTTTATCGTCTTTATTATGCTGATGATTCATTTTATAAATTACCTAAAGCTTATCTTTATTTTGAATTTCGAAAGTAAGATTCAGATTTATTTTTCTATGATATTTCATTTTTCTTCGTTCACTATTAAATCTAGTCCATTGGGAAATGTTGATCCAATACATTTTAATATGAATACATTATATGTTAAATTAGTTAAAGATTCATTAACTGAAGTTGTTTATCCAGCACAAATTGGAGGATTACAATATGAATTATCTGCTGTGAACTATGGTATTCAGGTAATTTAATATTAATTCTGAATGAGAAGAAAGAAAATATATTAGTTTTATTGTAGTTAACCTTATATAGATATAATCATAAAATAAAAGAATTACTTGATACAATTATTGATCGCATGGTTAATATTAAAATGAGCGCACAACAATTTGAAAGCATTAAAGAAAGAGTAATCGAATTTAAATGAATGAAAATTCTTAAAATAAAATATATCCGATAGGTTAAACGAGCATTACAAAATTTTCGTCGTGATGTTCCTTATGAAATGGCACAATTTGGTGTAACTTATTTAACAGCTGAACGTCAATGGAATAAAGATGAATTACTTAGCTGTATTGATGGCAAATTTTCAAAAACAAAAAAAAAGCAGACAGATATTAGATTAAAAAACGTTTTTTTTGCTTCAAGGTATTACGATGAATAATGTAGAATCATTCATTCCTCGGATGTTAAATCGTTTTTATACTGATTCATTAATGTATGGAAATTTAATAAAACATGTAAGAAGAATGAATTTCTTTTTTTGTTTGATTTTAAAATGATTTTATTTTAATAGCAAGCTCTGGAATATATGACTCTAGTTGAACAAAAATTTCAAAAAAAACATTTTTATCAACCACTTTTTCCTAGTATGTGGTTTAATCAACGTGAATTAATATTACCTGAAGGTTAGTTTAATTGCCTTTTTTTACCTATAAATATTAAATAAACATTTTCTTGATTCTTTTTATTTTTCGTCAAGGTTGTAATTATGCATATACAATGCTAAATGATGCACACAAGTTACATGCCATTGAAATTTATTTACAATGTTTTCAACAAACACTTGAAAATAATGTTTTACTTGAATTATTTTGTCATTTTGTTGATGAACCTTGTTTTGATCAATTACGAACAACAGAACAATTAGGTTATATTGTTAAAGCAGATACACATCGTTCACGTGGTGTACAAAGTTTTAGAATTATTGTTCAATCTGCTTAAGAACTCGATTATATTAATCAACGTATTGAATTATTTATTGATTCGATTAGAGTACGTAAGAAAAGCAGAAAAACTAAATTCAAGAATATATTGTTTCAATCACAGAGAAGAGCTCAATCTATAATATAGAAAAATTCTAGTTTGATTGATTTGGTCAAAAAGAAACTAAATATATTCCAAATGTAATGTATGAGACATTTAGAAACAAAATATACGTAGTATAAATTGGACAAGCCAAATGATTATTTTGCACATTTTACAAGAATCCTATCTAATTGTCATCAAAAGCCACAAACTCATATGAATCAATGTCAAAATTATAATCGAATATTTGATCGCAATCATGTCGATATGCATTGCAATGCTGGTAATCCGGAATTAAAACGAATTTCTCATTCTCCTTCAAAACCATCTGCAATTTATTCAAATCCTGTAATAATTATTAAACAACAACATCCAACATAATAGGTTCAACATCGAAGTAATCAACAAGTTTATCAATATGTTACACTGTCTGTTTGTTTTCTTTACAACTATCTACTTTACTGGTTAATCTATTTATTTTTCTTTTCATTTGTGATATTCATTTGTTTATTTTCTTTCCTTTTCTCATTTTCAAGTTAATATCTTGCTCTATATTCTTTGTGATCATATTATGTAACCGTCTTCACAGTTATACGAACAGATATTGCCGTTAGATATGTTCGTATAACTTTTTGTGTGGGGGAAGGTGTCAGGATCCGACATCTATATACGTATATATCGATGATCGATCCTCCTTCTTATTCCTTTTCATCTTTCTTTTTTTCTATCTTCTCTAGTCAGTTGTTGTTTTTCTTGTTTGTTTGCTAGAAGGATTAGGTTCTTGTAGATTTCCAAAAATAAAAGATTACAGAACCTAACAGGCTCGAGTCCATTTGATTTGGACAGATAAGACTTTGATAGGCTCCATTCAATATACGAATTTTATATTACTGTCAAGTTTTCATTGATTCTAAGAGATGATGCATTGCTAGAAGATTAGTTTATATTTCATCTGTTATCAACAACAGGCAATGAATTCGTAAGCTCTGAGGCATACTATGGGTTATTTAATTTCAATCAGAATTTAAACAGAAAAAAAAGCACTTGATTTCAAATTGAAATAAGGGACTAAGGGACTAAAGGGACTAAGGGGAGGTCAAGAAAAGTGAGCTCCAAACTGCGTAAATTTCAAATTAGGAGCTCACCAAAGAAACCAACTGTGATGCCAGAGGCATCGTCTGAGATGCTATACGTATCACCTGGGATGCTAGAGGCATCACCTGGAATGCTAGAGGCACCACCTGGGATGCTAGAGACATCACCTGCGATGCTAGTGGCATCACCTGCTATACCACTGGCATCCTAGGTGATGCCTGCAGTATCCCAGGTGATGCTACTAGCATCTCAGGTAATGCTACCAGCATCCCAGGTAATGCTACTAGCATCCCAGGTAATGCTACTAGCATCCCAGGTAATGCTACTAACATCCCAGGTAATGCTACTAGCATCCCAGATAATGCTACTAGCATCCCTGGTGATGCTACTAGCGTCCCAGTTGATGCTACTAGCATTCCAGGTGATGCTCACTTTTCTTGACGCTAAGGGGACTAAGGGACTAAGCGGACTATTCAGTGAGGAAGCGCGTTTCCCCACTTAACACACCTTTTACTTCAGCGTCGCGGCGTGGGAGCGCGAAGCGCCCCCCGAAGAGCCGCGACCCATGCACATCTCTGTGTACACCATTATTCCTACCCTTAGTCCCTTTAGTCCGCTTAGTCCCTTAGTCCCTTAGTCCCTTTAGTCCCTTAGTCCCTTTAGTCCCTTAGTCCCTTTAGTCCCTTAGTCCCTTTAGTCCCTTAGTCCCTCTGTCTTGGTAAAAATGAGGTGTTATTTTTTTTTCAAAATTCAATTTTAAATAAAAAAACCCATAGACTCCTCTGAGGATACTAAAACTTACACTCTTTCAAACTTTGTAGACTAAAAAAGGCTCAGAATTCACTTCTCATTTCACTAGATCGACACATTTGTGTAGTACCTCAAAACTTTTCTATCAAAATCAAATTTTTCGCCATCATCTGCGGCAACTAATAACTTTTTCGGGAAGAAAATTGGCTTTTGTATGGCTATATGTCGTAATTCACGTTGACATTCAGTTAAAGTTACGCTTCTTTAATACATATGAAGGAGAGCTATACAGGATACTTATAGTCAGACCAACTAGGCGCTGTAAAAAATTTTTTTTTCCTCTTAAATGGTTGCACTCAGTTATCAATCAAAGATTTTCAATTTGCTAAACAAATTCTCAATGCAACTTCTCTTGTGTGAACATTGCTGTATCGATGTTATTTTGGTTTCTTATGATAATGCATATGAAAAACTCCTCTGTTAAAAGTGTAGGTCATCGAATCGGTTCAGGGATCGATCGGCTCTGGATCCATTTCTGGATTTGGAATTTTCTGTTGATTATGTCCGAAGTCGGACTCAAGTCCCCGAATTTGCATCTGACAGTTCTAGCTGAGAGTAAGAGCTAGTTTTAACTTGATTATGTTAGCGTCAATAGAGGTCGCTCTGCTACTGCTAACCATTCTCATTCCTTGTTATTGCTTCTTTCTGTTCTCCTCTCAGTCATTGATGTGGGGCCACACCTCTTGACTTGTTGTTGGAGTTTACCTCTTTTTTTATCATCCCCTCTTTTTCCTCATCCTCTTTGTTATATCTTTTCTCACTTTTATTATTACTAATAAACCTCCATCTCATCATCCTCATCATTTCATTATCACGATATCAAGATACAGTAAGGATTTTTTTTTTATGTGAGATTTCTCATCCCCTTAGCAGACCAGGGTTAGATTTAGTGATCATTCTGTCCACATATATAGTGTGGACAGAAGCATTTGACGATTCAATGAATCGAGAATCTCACAGGTTATCATCAGATTACGGTCAATATTGTTTGAATTTGTGTAAGCTGTGCTAGTCACCAATATTATGATTGAAAAAAGAGTTCCATATCTATGAGATGATTGTGAGATTCAAAATAGAAAATTTCATTGAGAGCATGAAGACAACATGACAATTGCCCAACGAATCGATCGGGGTCAAAAATGTTAATTCAAAGCGGAATTCTGAGGTCCCAGTCAAAAATGCGTCGCTTCATAAGGAGATATATTTCTTTCGAGGGAAAAACGAAAATTCATAGTCATAATGCTGATTTCTATATGAAAAATGAAATTCAAAAGTGAAAAATATGATTTCTCTTATAGGAAAGATTCTCACATAGTATCATACCGAGATATATCTTTTTTCAGCGGCAAAATCAAAATTCATTTGACTTCTATATGAAAAATAATATGGAAAAATGAAAAAAAAATGATTTCTTCTATTGAAGAGATTTTTACATAGTATCATTGTGCCAATAGGCATATTATCTTATATGATATCTTTGCTTTCTCAGTGTGTCCTTGTATAGTCAATGTTTCGTAATGTTCATATTCGTGTTACTATTACGTTTGGTTATGATTGATTGAACCTTGTGCACTTTCTATCGTAACGCGCTTCTCATTCTATATCAATATTGACTCGTATATTATATGCATTGCTCTCGCCTTATGTCCTCACTATATTGCTTCTCTACATGTGTTCTCTCTTCGACCTCATCATCTGTTATTCTACTCGTGTATATGAACGCGTCCTTCCAACGATAGCTAATGACTGATCGCCTAACGCATAATCTTCGGTTATATCGTTCCTCTCTCCTTTCCTCCTCTTGTATTGCATCATCTATTCTCTCTTTTCTCTCCCATATATCTCCTATATAACCTCATGTTATGTGTGTGTAATAGTGACATTTGGATGTAGTGCACTAGTCGAATGAACATCATGCCCATCACTATGGAATCAAAGACAATGAATGTGCCTCTCCATTAGTGCCCTGCGGTTCCTATAATTACCCGGGAACCAAACCGGAACCGTCGGTTCCGATTCGGTTCCGGTTCCTAAAATCGAAAAAAAGCGGTTCCAATTTCGGTTCCCAAAATTTGTTTTAGGAACCAGAGTTTTTACAATGATATAGAAAATATTGAGTAAGATATCTTTTAATTTCTGTAATCCTTTTTTGAGATTGTTCATGATTATTATTTCATAAGAAAGTTTGGGAAAATATAATGAAAGATGAAAGAATGAGAAAACAAGCTATTACAAAATATGTTCGCATGAAATTATTAATATTACAAAGTTTTAAAATAAATCTACTTCATCATTTTCTTCTTCGTAATCATCATCACTAAGAGTAATATCAACTTAGTTCGTCTTAAATTTCTTTGTTGCTGTAGTAATTGATTGTTCTTCATATTTATTGGAGACTGTAGAAGATGGTTGTTCAACCATTTTTCTTTTCATTTCATTTGTATTACCTTCAATCGATTTTTATTATCAAATGACTTTAGTAAAGTTAAATTTTTCTGTAAAAACAATAACTTATTTTTTTCAGTACCGAGATTACTACCTTTATTTGTAACTGTATTTTTTGACGACGAGAAAAGCCTTTCTATACTCGTATTCGATGCTGGTGCAGCATAAAAATCTTGAACCATAGAAAATAAGATTAGAAATTTCGATTTTTGTTGTAACCGAAATTGCAAAATATCATCATGCTCAGTCAATTGAACATCTAATGCCATATATTCCTTTAATTCATCATACGATGCTGATGTCAATTTCAAGTCATTTTTTGGTATATCGAAATAGGATGAAAGAAGACCTTTTGGTGCTGTTGATTTCGAATTAAGTGCATTTGTACGAGCCAAGGGGGAAACAGCGGAGACTTCAGCCGTGAAGTCCCATGAAGTCTTGTAAGTCTTTTGAAGTCTTCTGAAGTTTCTTGAAGTCTTACGAATTCTCATAAAGTCTCTTGAAGTCTCATGAAGTCTCATGAAGTCTCTTGAAGTCTCTTGAGGGTGCGGGTGTGGGTGGGTGTG